TCTCACACTCCCCCTCTCTCCCCCTCTCCTCCTCTCTCTATCTCACACTCTCTCTATCTATCTCTCTCTATCTCACACTCCCCCTCTATCTCACACTCCCCCTCCCACCCTCTCTCAATCTCACACTCTCCCTCCCTCCCTCTCTCTATCTCACTCTCCCTCTCCCCCAGCTTTGGATGAAGAAGATGCCAAGTTCACCTGCTTCGAGTGTAGCCGTTCTGTCTCTCTGTCTCTCCCTCCCTCTCTCTATCACTCTCCCTCCCCCTCCCTCCCCCCCTCTCTCTCTCTCTATCTCACTCTCCCCCTCTCTCTCTCCCCAGCTCTGGATGAAGAAGACGCCAAGTTCCCCTGCTTCGAGTGTAGCCGAAAGTTCAAGTCTTCGGCAGCCCTTCAAAAACATCTGGGCACACATGAAGCCGATGACATCATCAATGTAGATCCTTCAGGCGGGGAGGATGAGGACTTTGAGGACAGAGGAGGAGGAGGAGAGGGGCGGGGAGGAGGAGGAGGAGGGAAGAGGAAGGCCACGTTTGTGCGAGGGAAGCTCCTGAAGGGGAAAGGCAGAGATGTGAGTGGCTGGTTGGGAAGATTTCACAACAAATACAATATGTATACATAAAAGGCATGTTATATTTAAAGAATATGGCGTCAATAGAAAATCTACAAATTTCACTGCGGTGTCGATTTTTTTTTGCCAACATCTCAATTTGTGGATTGTGAGAAGTGACTCAATTTGTCAGCTAGCCTCACAAATGTTTTTATGTGGGTGGTTGGCGGGTGCTCTGGCGTGGTTTGCTTCGTCTTTCCTATCAAACATCTATCGTTTTTATTTCCCCACCTTCTTTTTTTATGTTTGTTACTCTCTTGTAACTCCTCTAATCTTCGGCACTTATATGACCTTATTGTGTTGCAAGTGCCGTAAAACTCTTACTAAAACGAAAATGTTTGCGTTTCTATCTTTCAGAGCAGCGGCGATACTTCAAACTACCAGTGGAAGAAGAAGAAGTCTACCAAGATTTATCTGCACAAGTGAGTGGAGAGAGAGAGAGAGAGAGAGAGAGAGAGAGAGAGAGAGAGAGAGAGAGAG